TCCCGCCTCAATGCCTAGTACGCCTCCCCAACTTTAGCTCTAGCGCGACCAACCGATCTATAGCCTCTAGCTTCTCTCATCACTACTATCAAGCAACTTTGTTTCCCAAGCGCGGTTCGGTCATATACCCCTATTCCACAGAGGGCCAGGACATTCATCAACCCAATAGGGTGAACAGCACCTCTGAAAAGAAGTAGGGACCTTTGCTCCATCCAAACACTTCCGCAATATCTTTTCCTCTCAATAGCCGTATACGACCTCTCCGCTTCCTGACAACCAAGAGCGACTCCCTCCTCCCCCCCCCCCATCCTACGCGTCGGTCTTCTCACCGAGATTGCCCAGTCAAGGTGCACCTCAGAAGTTTTAGACACCTCGTTCACCACAGCTTTTCATCTCCGCTTAGTTTACCTATTTTGGGGTATGAGGCGCAGTAAAGGTAGCACTTTCGCCTCAGAGCGTATTTTTTGTGCGTTTATGTCCATTTTACATGATAAATGCGTCGAAGGCAACTAGAGGGCTGGAATAATAAAGGATAAAGTCTTCGCCGTTGATCAATCCCTTTGTGGGATGCGGCACGCATTCTACTTCCATTCAGAATCGTAGTGGCTTATTGAATGCGATGTGGCCTATACAATGACTTGCGGTGGCCAGCCGATGTACAAGTCAGTGTTTTATCCTCCCAGACGAATCTGGTACCAATTTAATAGCCCCCGAGGGTAGAAGGCTTGGTTGGCCAAAGCGGGAGTCGATCTAAACTCAAGACCGCGCGAGTGGTGCGCCCGCCGCTTGCCACCACACCACCTCCTGCCCAAAAAATGCGCCTTATACGTCAGAAAATACGGTAGTTTTACTGGAGTATGAGCCCGCTCGATACTTTCTCGAAGTTTCCGTCACAGTCCAGTGCCCAATCAACGCCCTGGTCGTGGTGAAGAGAAGCCGATTGCATGGCACATTCCAATGATTTTAGTTGACGTCGACAACATTTCTGTAAATGAGACACGCATGCGATGAGTCAGGCTCACAGAAAAATGATTGAAGACCAGTAACTGTTCACTTTACCAATTGAACCTGTTCAGTAAAACCCATAAAACCATTTATGTTCGAGAGTTTGACTAACCCTGGAGTAGAAAGAACCAGGCGCTCGAGAATGGACGCTCTCAGCCACAGCGCTCTTAGGAAAGGCGAATGGAACACTCTGCAAAGCGTAACGATAAAATAGCTTAAAGGCATATGACACGATGATTTGGTACAGGCGTCCGGGTCGGTATGTAGCAGCTTAATAGGGCTTTATAAGGGTACCTTCCTTGAAAAAGGCGCTGAGCAACACCTGCTCGTCCTGCCAGGCGTATTAATTCTACTCTTCTTAGAATTTATCGTTCCAACTGCCTTTAAACCAATTTCCACGCATTCCTAACCTAATCAAATTGACTCATTTCACTTTCGCTTTCACATGACACTTCACCCCTGCCTTGCATAACCTTGAAATCGTAATGACTCACTTTCTGGTCTTTAATCAACTCTCAATCTAAGCAAATAGTTTAGAAAAAGATGAAGCATCAACTTTTTTAGATGCTCGCTTGCCCCTTAACACTTCCCACTTATCATTTCACTTCTTTTTCGCTGAATTCAATGAATCGCGCTTCACTTAACCAAGGAGTTTTTACCCACTGACTTTGTCCTATTCATAGCTTCCATGGCTGGAACTGGGATTGAAAGTGACAGCGCGGTTTGGTCCCTACGGTTTGGTCCCTACAGTTTGGTCCCTACGGTTTGGTCCCTACGGTTTGGTCCCTACGTCAGACCCGTCTCGGCATGGTGCATCCGAGAGTAACTTAACCCTGGGACCAGTTAAAGGCACATGTCGCGATTAGCCATCCCGCAGTGGTAGTGAGGTAACCGGATTTCCTAACCAGAGGTGTTGCGCCTTTTTCGCCCTTTGAAAGTGCGTAGCAAGCGCGCTACAGGATTATCGTTTAGGTCCAGGAGGTCCAAGACAGCCCACCTTGGCCGTCAGTTATCGCTTTGCTTTATGATGATTGAATCTTTGGAGGATAAAAGCCGTCATGCATACGTCCAGTGGCTCCACAAGTCACAGTAAAGACTTTATTAGCTATAAAGCGTTGCGGTGTTGATCAATCTCCATCCGGCTCCCTAGACAATCGAGTGAGCGGGTAAACAGGCCTGTCAATGTACAGTTCCTTGGTTTGTCCTCCCAAACAGTTTTAGTACGATTAATTACCGTAAAGGAATGGGAGGCCTAGCAATTCTGGGCGAGAGTCGATCCGGGACTTGACTCTCCCAAATATCGGCATGGTAAGCAGCTGCCCCTCCCCCCTGCGACGGCATGCGAACGCAAGCGGACTTCGTATTCCGAAGGACTTTTAGGACTCACCCAGCCTGCCTTTCCTCTACGACTTTCATCAACAATTTGTTCTCTCTTGGCCAATCGACCCGTCAACTTTGAGTTGGTAGTGGAAGAGTGTGAATCTCAAGAAATACCAAACTTCCGCACTCGCTGGTGCCGCCTCCTTCCACTACTCCAAGTCCACTGCGATAGATCGCCTCTGCTGTGTACTATCACACAATAACCAGCCCAGTAGTAGTGCGCAGCAGAAACTGGTCGTATCTCTCGAAATTTGGCGTGAATTATTGAGAGCATGCCCAGAAATTATTGCTACGCCCGCTCAAAAACTACCAGTTCACTCGGTAGCACAAGCAAAAGTGGTCGTAGTAACTTTCGTCCCACAAGATAGCCTTACTAGGGCGTTCCTGTCAGTCAAGGAAAGCGCCATCTCACCAAAGCTTGACCCTTTGGGTTATTTTGTTATGGGGATCACTATGCAAAGTTATGTATATAACAGGTAGTTGAAATGATTTCTGCTTGAGCAAAACAATCGGGGAAGATCGAGGGTTTTTCTCAATCGTTGAGCTAATCGCCTCGGACCTGCGACAGGATCGCACTAAGCGACGATTTTCAGCTCAGCTACTGCGGCCGCTTGGCCGAGCCGCCTTATACTGGGGCAACGATGTCTTGGGAATTGGAATACACAGCTTGATTCACTAGCGCTAGATAAGCTCGTGAGCGAAGCGCTACGTGATCGAAAATCACATCGGAGAGATTCGCTAGCGGCTGTCTGCGCGGGTGTGTTCTGCCCATGAGTGTAACTGAGGTAATCCAATCAGTTATCATGAAACAAAGAACCGGTCTCGTATTGCGTTGCCGTGGCCGTACAACGACAAAAACATCGCGCCCACCTGATGGTTTTCGCTTCATTTCCCAAAGCATTCCATCCTGGCACTGCACGAGCCATGCGTATTGTGAGCGCGGACGTAGCACGATTGCTGGAACCGGTGCATCGCAATTTCACACTCCATAGCATCAAACTGTACCTCGGGCAACTACCTCGTGGGATTGAAAGACCGCCAGCTGCTCGGGAAAGCAAAAAAAAACAGTTCTCCAATTTTTATAGATTGTAAATCAAAAATTTCCATCGGAAATTACAGTCATTGTCCCTGCAAAAGTGACGGCGTGTGATGGAGCGCATATTAAAGTGCAGCCAGGCAGCTGAGGCACGTCGCAAGCTAGGAAATCCAGAGCAGGGGGTCCTATTTGGTCGCTGAAGGGACAGGAGTGTATTTCGTTTCAAGAAATTATTTTGATAGCTGATTTTCTGCTTTTTCACGGGCGCTATCTACATCGTTGGGAGAGATTCCAACG